TGAGGAAATGGCAGGAGCATTTCAAACACGCATTCCTCAAGTGAAATCTTACTCGGTGTTGATGGTTGGCACGGCACTGCTGGTTCTGCAACATTGAAATGGAAAGTTTTGTAGGAAGTAGGCAGGACATAAAGAAGGAACAATAACTAGGATAATCAAGAAAAACGGAAACCCAGGCAAACCCCGTCATTCTGAACACAAACTGACTCGAACAGATGGGATTCAACACACGTTCGTCGGACAAAGACAACACGTGCAGCAGAGGAGGTGACGAGAGCATTTCAAACGCATTCCACAAGCAAAATCTTACTCGATGTTGACGGTTGGCCTCGCCCTACTGCTTCTACAATAATGAAATAGAAATTCTAATGGAAGTAGAGGGGAAACATAAATGTGAAAATAACTCGGATCGATGAAAATGAATAACCACGCGAACCCCATCACTCCGGACACAAACTGATCCAGACACAACTGGGGTCGAACGTTCGTCCACTAGGCAAAGACAGCATGTGGAGCAGAGGAAATACTGAGAGAATTTCAAATAGGGATTTCAAAAGTGAAGTCATACTCGGTGTTGATGGTTGTTCCAGCCCTGCTGGCTCTGCAGCATTAAAATGGGATGTCTTGAAGCAAGTAGATAAGACTTTGAAAAATTAAGAATAACTCGGATCGACAAAAAACAAAAAACTACGAGAACTCCTTCACTTTTGCCTGAAACGTAGTAAGACAGATGGGGTCAAACATTTGTTGACTGCTAAAAGGTCAGTTTCTCTTGTATGAGAACAGCACATGGATCGGATGAGATAGCGAGAACATTTCAAGCAGCGGACATACAAGTAATTTCGAAGAAGAAATTTTATCAGAAGTTTGTGGCTGGAGCTTTTCTATGATTTTTGCAATGTTAATTAAAACGCCATTAAAATAAATGTAGCACCAATACATAGAATGAGAAAATGATCGCGCAGTCAACACCATTGCCTCGAACGAGGTAGACAGATTGTATCTAGAAAATGCCCTCCTTGCTTAGTAAAATTGACAACCGAAAGCGGCTCATTTTGAAAGCGCATAGCTAGCAACGCATCAAGAGGCGGAAACAGCTTTTTATCCAATTGCACTGCATGGACGTCCGAAAATGAAATCTTACTGGAAGTGGGTGACAGGGGCAGCCCTGTGGTTTGCGTAAGACCGGGAAGGGTTCTCCTCCCTGAATCAACAAGAAAATATGTTGGAAAACAGCAGTAGCAACAAGGGATAGGTGGTGAGAGCGACACTATCCTGCTGACAGGAAAGAAGAGAGACTTAACTCGAAGCGCTACAACTAGTTGGTAAAGCTTTGAAATTACTAAGTACACAGCTAACATAATAAGCTCGACAAGAGTAGAAGAGCAGTGCTGGAGACAGTTAGAACGCCTTCAATTGTGCATCCAGTTGTAGCGGAAGCGAAAGCACTCCATAGGGAGCAACCAAAACTGAACCGTACTGGGCGCAGGTGATCCGGGTATTTCTACAGTTTTTGTCAAATTAAAATGCAATTTTTAATTGACGTTGACAGAGGCGTATAAAAACAAAAGACAAGGCAATGGGAGCGACCGTCGATGCAAATTCAAGCCTACTAAAATGATAAAAGCATTTTAACTGGATGTGGATAACTTCAATGAGGGGACACAGAAAATCCCGAAAACGAAGCCTTACTGAAGGGGGATGTTTCCGGATTTGCTGCGGTTTCTGCAAGATGAAATCAAGAACTGATTTGGGATTGTTAGGACATGAGAGCAAATGCGAGAGGACCGCACTTTAAGCAAAGTACAGAGGAACGAAAAAAAACTACACTACTGTTGTATGGAAGAGGAGGAATATTACAGAAACCAAGCCACCTAAATCGTGCGTTTATTTATAGCCAGTATAATCAATGCAGCAGCAAAATTTTGGATAGCAGAAGTTCTGAATGGAAGCAGTGTCAAAGCTGACAATAACCTGTCAGGCTCATCCTGCTAGGAGTACAACAAGCGAAGCAGAAATGAACCACCTAGAGCAGGTGGACTGTTGTCCCACAAGGAACTTAAACAAGTGAAGTTACCGGGTGAAGAGGGTTTGGGTTTTTCTGCGGTTGCTGCAAGATTGAGGCAAACAAAAGCTTTTTTTCACTAGCGAAACCCGCCGCTTGTGAGCGAGGTCGATCAGAAGCGGTGTCATATTTGCTGGTCACGAGGAGAAGCCGCTTTACGGTAGTAAGGGCGCAAGACACAGAGCAAAATGAAATGGCATAAAAGCACGCTCCACAGCAAATCCCAAACACGACAGTTTACCAGGTATCGATAGTTCCGACTTGTCAATTATTCCTGTGGGATTGGAACACGTGGATTAACAATGACACAACAGAAAATGCTTCCTTAGAAAAAAAGCCAGTGAAGAAAGGCGATTGGAGGTGACCTTAGACAGAGGGACGCGATAAAGCATTCGTTGAGTAATAACCACTCCTTCATTTTAATAAGAGAATAGCACAAAAGCAGGCCTGAATAAAGTGGGGTCTTGCTCCAAATGAAAGAAACAAAAAGCAAAATTTACTGAATGTTTGCCGTTCTTTCACTTCTAAAAGAATAAAATGAGATGCTCCACTTAAAATAGCTGTGATGCAAAAAACAAGGGTAGCAGAACGGAAATTGTAACGGAATTAGCAAAGACAAAGGAAAAACAATGGGAATGATGGTGTCAGTTCAATTGAACATGCACCGGAGCCGGAAGATGATAACCTCAGAGCACCATGGATAACTAATGATGTACCAACGATTAGAGCTACCTTAGTTGTCCACTTAACAATGGAGATCAGCAGCAAAACGGAACAGAAGCATCACTAAAATCCAGCCCATTAGACACAAAGCATAATGGGAAATGCGAAACTGCAGACGAACCAGGTTCCAGTTTGATGAGAGAAAATTGCTCCAGAATGTCTTCTGACAAGTCATCTAGCAAAACGTCAACAACGAGGGGATAAGAAGCAACGTTTTGATACACTGGAGTAATTGATAATAAACGAATCTCTCCCTTGTGTTAACATGAGTTTAGCGTTCATGCGTCAACAAGATGAAAAACTCTTCTCAGGAGAAAACAAACGCCTCTGATTCAGTAGCAAGGCACAAAGTGTAGGAAAGAGAGGGAGGAAAGGGTCATAGAGAGTAAAACGCACAAAAGTAACCAGCGCTTTTTACATCACCAACGACATGCACAACATCCTCAACGTCCATTTCTCTTGGCATAGCTGTGTATATGGACGCGCCTAAATAGTGAGAGAGGAGAGGCACTGTTAAAGCCGGTTAGCTGATTTAATAAGAAAAAAACGGATTAGCACTAATTTGAAAGGAGGTTTTGAAAGTATAGCCCGTATCAAGTCCTCTCGGCGGTAACTGAGACCATCATGCCATCAGACACTCAGAGGAAGTCCACTTGAAGAACCAGTGTATTCCCAGCATGCCCAAGTGTTACGTCTCTTTTCATCGTCAGAGAAGTTCCGGGGTGCTACAGGTCTCAAAGGCGGAGTAATGATTTACATTTGCAGAATACAATGGTAGCATTGTCGTTCCTTCCCGTGGAAGACCTCTTTCATACAATCCCCCATCCTCACCTTATCTCAATGAATTACTTCTTCCAACTTGGAATGTTTTGAACGTGAAACACACAAAACCACGCCGTACTATTTTCAGTGCAAACGCCACTTCGTGAAGAACAGAAGCACCGTCTCTCACCTGCATGAGCATCCAAACTAACCCGCATGAAAACATTAATGCCTTTAACATGAAAATCATGCTTAACTGGGTACTATCACAGCACCATTTATCCCTGTTTCACGGCTAACCTTCAGGACTTTATAGCAATCTGGTGACGGCTTTCATCACTTGGCTTCTCTGCACACGGTCATCTCATTTCTCCAAATTCAAATGGATTGATTCTTTAAATAAAAATCCAAATGAGTGCCACCACCAGTTAAGCGCCAGGTTCAGAAGTCAACGAATTATATCGCCAAGGGCCGAGGAAGTGAATATAACGTAAAATTTTTCAGAAACATTAAAGGAAAACTCACCCTCTTTTCTGCGATAAAGTTGACTTCTCATTTTCGTGACGGTGAGCCTGTTTACTTCAATGAAACGCAAAGAGCGATAGCATAGATCAAGGTTTTTGATTCGACTCAAATCAAGGGAAAAGTAAATCAGGGTGAGTGGCCAACAAGCCGAGAGCAGCATGTCAATTAGGATTCCACGTCTCAACCAAGGTTTCGACTTTCTTTACCAAAGCTGATATATTGGTGGCTTCTGTAGTAATCAAGTAAATAATGGTATTTGGTATCAGGAAAAACAAATCAAGACACGCCTACTTTCCCTAGAGCTAATTTCCAAATGAATTTTGAGCTCATTTCCCACGAAGACTTTCTTAGTGCACAAGGGGGAAATTGTTTGTAACTAAATCCACCATAGTGATGTGCAAAAGGCGTGTCTAGTGGACAGTATCGGGACACCAAAAAGCTAACTACGAGTACGTAAAGAAACCACGAGGTCAGATGCTAAAGAGAGGTGAGAATAAATTCCAAAGCTCTGGAAAGGGAGTTGGCAAAACCGTTCCAATAAGCTATCCAAGACTGACGAAACAGTTCTTCAGCAACCTGCGATCGGCTGAGCAAATAGACAACGATCAAAATGTTGTAGTAACAGGGAGGACGAGAAGGCACTTATTCACCTTAAAATTACAAAAAGCACACAAAACACCAGCATGCGGTGCCGAAGCCGGATGAATGGCATAGAGGAAGTACGAAACTAAGTAACAAATTGCAGAGCGACAACCAACAAAAAGCTACAGTTCCTACAGCCACAAAAGCCAAAACATACTCATCTTCTCTGGCAAAAAAAACATGGAAATAGAAACAAATTTACAATTTAGCTTTATACATGCTGTAGACATTTCTAAGTGGCACGGCAGGGCTAAACAGTTTTCAAAACCCAGAATTCGAAGTGTTAATAAGGGCTGAAGCCTTGAACATTAAATCAACGAAATCTCCTAACTTTGAAGATAGAAACGTTAAAATTACTTTGAAATCTCTTATTATTCTAGAATACCTAACACAATGCACACTGGAGGATATACAGTTGTGCTTAATTGTGAATAAACACCGCAAACGGTCACACAGACATAGATCTACGCACAGATCGGAACTTACCGACACTATAGAATTCAGCACCGATTGGAACTGCGTCCGGCAGGTTGACCTCCGTCGGTTGGATAGATTCTTGACTCTGTGGTGGTCTAAGTGAACAGGTCGGTTTTTCTTCCGCTTGTCCGAACGCAGAAACGAGTGAAGTGGCACTCGCCGATCCCTGTTCTGTGACAGTGACCGCCCGGGCAATTGATGCCCACGGACTGGGATGCGGCTGTTTTCTCTCTTGTTCCGAGGATAAAACAGGCGCTGGAGTACTTTTAGATCCCTGTCTTACGGGAGTTGTTGTTCGGACGCTTGACGGCCCCGGAACTGGATCTGGCCGCGCAGAACCACTCACCAAGCTGCCCAACCCTTCAACATTTGATGACAAGGTGGAAACACTGGGACCTTGTCTGTGTGGATCTTTTGAAAAAGTATCCGTACCCTCGCCTTCATTATCACCACGAGGAATCATTGACTAAATTGAAGATAATGTAGAGAATAGGTCGTTCAACGAGCACCGAACGTCAAGCATATTATCTAAAGGTGTATCATTAGTGTGTCCACAATTTAAAAATCCGTTTCACAGCATATAGCAACCGAAAGAAAAAGGCGATCAAATGACACCAATTTTATTCAGTAGCAAAAAAACTATGTGAGAAATGAAATAAAACAGGAGATGTGGATGGACGAGGTAAAATCGACTGCTGCAAAGAAAAAGTTGAGCAATAGAAAGACTAGATATGGGGAGAGACGAAGTAGTTAGTAATTTGGGGGAGATTGAAGAGGGCCCTCGCACCTCCCTTGACGACGCAGACGCGATCAATGGAGCGTTGAATGAGACAGCAGGCGAGTGTGAGGGCGGCGTCATCATCATTCCCAGTTTCGCATTCATCCTTAGCATCACCGAGAGTGGATCCGTATTGCAGAAGCATCACTAGGCCAGGTGAGTGCGCTGAGGCGAAGCCACGAGGACTTGCAGCGTTGCGTGCGGCCGTAGCCGCCAGCCACAACTGACTGCCTGTCAAGCAGGTCACACCAGCTTCCACCTCGATAGGGTAGTAGTGAATGGAGTGCATTAAGCACCCACTGTAATGGAAGAGCTAGATCAGAATTCACTGAGAGATTGCAATCCAACCAGTAGCTTAGGAACGTCCAACTCACCTACTGTACTCCTCCTTGCTCCTCATGTCGACTAGGACACAGTCACTACGAGAGAGCTGCTGGAGGGCATCACTCGGATCGATGAGAGGCACCAGACTGGAGGTGATACTTCGGTAGTCCACCTCGTTGCGTTTAAAGCTGGTGGAGGGGGAAGAGAGTCTACCACCACCAGTACTCGTCGAACTTACATCGCCTTTCACTGTTATCCCTGGTGCCACTACGTCCACATGTGCTGGCCACGTGGAGAGGCAATTCTGCAATAAGTACAGAAAAATACTTAAAAAGGGATGTATGCAGTTTCATTGCCTATAGATCATGCACACTAACCACACAATATCTGCCCGAGTGATTTGATGGGTCTGATTCAATGTGGGTTGAAAGCATCCCCCTGTGCGTTTGATTAAAAATATGGAGCGAGCGGGCAAGAGAGTCCATCCAGCCACCCGACGTGCCTCGGCGAATAGACTGCGCTGTCAAACTGATGGGCGTGGCGGCTGCAAAATTGACAGCGTCCTCAAGGCACTGATCAAGATTGAAGTCAGGGAAGTTGGAGAGCAGGGTACATATGCTCTCTTGATTAAGCGACTACAAATGAGAACACGTAAATTGTCGAATTAAATAAGTTCATATTTGAAAGAACCTCAAGTTTAATTGAGTGTGAGATAAAAAATCCCAAGTATTGCGGTTTAGTGCACATTACAATGGAATGTTGCGATAGAATATCTATTTGAGGGCCGTAGTACTAATGCTGAAGAGATTGTTAACATTCTTGGGACTTTTTAAGGCAAAAATAGATTCAACACTCCTTTGTGGTGAAGCTATTTTAAAATCAAAACTGATATTATGGATAAGGGTGAAGCATCAAGGTGATTTGATGCACGAAGTGAAAAGCCAGCTAGGTTTAGATATCTGATAGTGAAAAAGCCCATAACTTCTGCGGTAAGGATTACGTAGTATTTAAATGGGAAACTACAGGAGCATAATGATCCTCAAGGGCGAGCACAAATCCCTTCCGCTTCGTGTTAGAGCAAAAGTCACTTCAAAATTCCTAATAAATTGAGTACATTTCAAGAAAATGCCGTCTAGACGATTTGGTATACGAAAATAGTCTATATAGATGGACTTGGATGCTTCTTTAGCAAGATGTCGGGCCCAAGTGATTGTGGAGGCACTAACGCCCTTGTACGCCTGATGACTTAGTGGAAAGGTTAGAAAACAGATTACCATACATCACACAAAAATTGCCAATTTCTGGTAATCGTCTTAAGAAATCAAAGAAATCGTTTAAAACTTCAAACCTTTAAAACTAAAAGAGGCGAACACTAACATTAGCGAGTAATCTTTCAAATAAAAAAAGAAGAACACAAGATTTCCACTTGGTGAACGGGCTTCAATGCGAAAGTTCATCCCATAGATCCAAGCAACCCAATGACGCAACTTGACACAGAGTAAACTTTGCCAGGTTTAAACGATAAGCGTGCAAGTCTGACGCCACTATTTACACCCTCGAATCTGCAGCTTTAGTGCATTCACCTACAGGCGATCGCAGACTACGAAATCCTTGGGAGTGATGCAAATGCCCCATTGGTTATGTTGATTGGGTTGGGGTGGGGGGAGGGAGGAAATGACTAGTCCAAGAGAAGTAAAACTATATGGGCCATGAAAAATGAATGCAATTACAGTCTCGATATACAGAAGGAAGGGGGAGGAGCCTACCAGTAATCGACATTGTTGATTGACTTGATGAAAGATGGACACATACACAAGCATGGGGAGGGAGGGCGATGCAGCGAGGAGGCTGTCCCACAGGATCTCGACGCGATCTAGAGGCATGGAGTGCGCAAAGAGAGTGTAGATCCAACCCGCGGTGAGTCCGGTGAGGGGCACACCGAGACGGGCAAAATGCGCCGCCACCGCAGGCACGTGGAAAGCGAGGAGGCGCAGGAGGAGGACGAAGTAGGCCTGCAGACCAGCAGTGAAGCGACGCCGCGAGAAGAAACCCACCAGGCGTGGCGAGGTCAGGAGGTTGGAGAGACAGTGTGTCGCCACCTCGGGAGCGGGAAAAAAGAGACGCGTAAATACGGCGGCCAGTGAATCCATACCCTAAAACAACAGCAAAAAATAAGCATTGGAGACAAACCAGGTGTGACTAGCTGGTTTACTTTACTTTGTGTTTATGCACCTTGAATCTAAAAAGATCGGATGGAGGTGCCTGTTACTACGGGCCAACATTAAAATACGCCTGATGGTAAGCAATACTTACTAATCTGATCGAAGATCAGTACACGACCAAAAATACTAAAGCTAAGTAGAACCAAGACTATATTTCAAACTGATCGCGTTATCCAAGAACCTGCCTTGCAAGGCGGCAGATACATGAGAAATGGGCACCATGGAAACACACTTCTATGTGTAAATGCATAACTACTTAGTATTTGGGCTACTTAACAAACCTGAGTGTACTCGAATCGATCGTCATTAGCCAGCAATGTGGCTACCAGAACAGAACGAAGTCGCTCTTGTCCGAGCGGAGACCCAATCAGCAGATCGTAGGCATGACAACGTGGTAAATCGACACTGATCTGTCCCATTACCTGATCAGAGAGACCAATTCCTTGGGTGGAAATTCGCGAATGGAATGAGCCTGCTGCTATTGCAACGGAGAGAGCTGCTTCTACTTTCCGTCGACTAGTATCATCCTGGTAACCTGATTCAACACCCAGAAGGGCTGCCCAAACCTAGAGTAATGGAGGACGAGACAGTTTCTAGAGAATTGCTTTTACAAAACCCCCGATTTCTCTAACAAAAAATTCTGGCATCGAATAGAGTTCACCTCTGTTCTGAGGAAGGGTGGGATGTCAAATCGGGCCTCAAGGAGCAGGCGCGTGGCAGTGGATGGCATCCCAGTAAGAAGACGTCGAAAGAGACACACTCGCATCACTTGATACTCCACATCAGCCTGCTTCACCAGGACTGGCTGGAAGATCATTGCGTCATAGGAGTCAGTCACACGTAGTTTGTGTTTGGGCAGATGGCTCAAGAGCGAAGTGCCCCGATTCTGCTGCTCTTGCCAACAGTCTTCAACACCGGTCAGCGCGAGACTATCAATTATGTTGAGTTTTCCCTCCTCATCTCCACCGAGGCAGGAATAGGAATGGGGGAAGAGAAGGGGATAGAGGGACTTCGTCGGCATGAGAGCAAGACGTTTGAGAAGGCGCTCAGCAGGAAGCGGTACGACGATGGGACAAAACCTGTAGGATGGAAGATAATATATATATATATATATATATATATATATATATATATATATATATA